CGGTTCGTAATTAGTTTTTGCGGCATTCCGTAATTTGTTATTACGTGCCGAAAAAAAGCGTAAGTTAAAATAAACGCGTTGTTACTTTTTTTGTATAGTAAATATAAAGCATATTTTGTAAGCTTGTTTATTATTACCAATATATTGTTATATTGTATTCCCGTTAAAGGCTTTTTAAATTTAAGGAATTTAACGACAAAATTTATAATAATTGTTGTAGGTAGAAGGGATAGGCACGGTGTAAGGCTATTCCGGTTAATATGCTTTAAGGAAGAAAGGATTTGAAGTGCAGGGTCCCGTAAAGGCCTCTGCCCTTTATATACACGTAACTCCCTATCCTCCTTGCTTATTAAGCTTCCCTCTTAACGCCTGGAAGCGTTATACGCTTCCAGGCAAGGGGACCGCTTTTCCAATGCCTTAAACATTTAATATTTATGCTTAAAGCTTTTTTATAACAATATATACTATTTACTTTGTAATATACCTTTTAAGCAAACCTTTTGGGTTGTTTGTAAATAAAATAAAAGGAAATTGGTTGCTATGTTAATAGCGTAGGATTTAAAAGCTTACCGCGCTTTTAAAGGTTAATTGTAAAAGCGTATTAACTTTAAAAAGTAACGAAGCAAGCGTTTCCCGCTTTTAAAGGGTAACCGTAAAAGCGCATTAGCTTTAAAAAGTAATAAAGCAAACGCTCCCCGTTGCTAAAAGCAACGAAACAAATATTCCAGCCATAAAAGGTAACGAAATAAATGCTTTAGCTATTATCGGAAAAAGGTAAGCGTAGCAATTAAAACCTTTTTTTTTTTACCTCGTTCCGGCTTTTCTTTTTTTCCTTTTTATTACCATTTCTTTACCAATTCGTAAATCTTTACGCTTTCGTTTTTATCGTTTAAACCTTTATTAATATAAAAATTTTCGCAAAAGCAAAAGCAAGCAATTGTAAATGTTTTGCGCGGCGGCGTAATGTTTTAAAAGCGTTATGCGGTATTAATAAATTGGTTGGAAAATAAATATTGCCGGTAATAAAGCAACGCGTGCGACCGTTTAAAAGCGCGTTAAACGCGAAAAATTTAACCGGGCTTAAGCTTAAAAAAAATAAATTGTAGCTTTTTGCTTTTCCATTAATTTATTGCTTTTTCGCTAATTTCGTTTTGTACGCGTATAATGCGAATTTGCAAACGGTTATAATTGCTTTAGCAATTAAAGCTAAGCAAACGGAAAAAGCATTGTTTAAAAAAAAGAAAAAAATTTAGCAAACCGAAAAGGACAAGCAAAGGAAAAATAGGTTCCTCGCGAAGGAAAATAAATAACGGGATATAAAAAACGCGCAAAAGCAGTAAACTATTTGCAAAAAGGCTTAAAATAACGTCCAAACGATTAAAGCGATAAAAACGCGTACGTTCGCCGAAAACGCTAAACGGGTTAAAGCTAATCGGGCTCGTTACGTTAAGCAAATAAAAGCTTTGCGCCGTTTTTTAACTTGGACCCCGATTAATATTGCCGTAACCGTTTTCGAGCTTTCGGTTGTTTTTATTACTTTTTGCACCCTTTGTCCTAATCCCTAACCCAATTTAACCGGTGCTTTTTAAGCTTCGGCTGGACCAAGCAAAAGTTTTAGGCCCGATTAACCTGTTCGTTAAACGATTAAAATCGATTTTAATTTCGATAAATTCGTTAATTGGTTTGTTTAAAAAAATAACGATAATAACGATAAGCCCGTCGTTTCCCCCGATACCCGGAAGCGTAAAACGGGTAAAAAAACGAAAGTAAATAACCAAATTAATTCGTTCCCAACCGTTTTTGCGGGTTTTATGCTAACTACCCTTTTCTTTTCCGTTTTAATCCTTAAAAAAAATGTTATTTGGCCTTTTTTTTTAACGAAACCGTTAACTTTTTTTTAACGGGAACGTTCCAATTGGCTTTTCCGATAATATTATTTCCCGCGCGGTTTTATGCAATAAATGTACCAAAAGCTTTTTAATAAAATTTCGGGGCCTTTGCAGCAATAAGCTTATAGCGCGCTCTTTTTGGGATGGTTGTACTTTACGGTATATTTAATATGTTTAAAGCAATTACCGTTGCAACCTTTTCCCTTTTTTGCCCCAATTGCGCATTGCAATTGCTTTATTCCAAAAAAAACTTTTAAGTAGCTTTTGCTTTAAAATTAAAAAGCTTAAAAAAATGGTAAGCCATTTTTTCGAGCTTTACCCAAAACCGGGCAACAAGTAAAAGGATAAAGCTAAAAAAGGGAATAAAAAAGCTTCCCGTCGAAGTAATCCTGCCTTTTGTAACCCGATTTTAAGGAAAAGGAAAAATGGTAATAATAACGAAGAAGGTTAAAAAGGTAGCATTAAAGCCGCAATAGCTTGGGGCTACTTTTTTTATAGAAATGTTTTTATCCATTAAATAATGGGTAAGGGCTAAAATTAAAATGAAAAGGAAAAATGGACAAAAAAAAAGTACAACGCTTTTGGAAATTGCACGCGTTATAATTAAATGCCGTTTTATTGTTTAAAACCGGCATGCTTTATATTTATTAATAAAAAAGGAATTTGCGTTGTGCTTTTATACAAACGTTATACGCTTTTAATATTTGTTCCGAAGTTTTTAGCTGCGTATTAAGCTTGCCAACCTGTCCTTAAAGGAATTGTACAACTTTAAAGCAGCTTTAAATGTTTTAAATTTGTAAAGCGGAAAGTTTTTGGTAAGCCTATTTGCTAGCATAAAAGCGGTTTTAAAATATACCACGTTAAACGTTCCTTTTTGGTACTTTTAGCGTAACTACATGTTTATAATATCCATATGCTTTAAAGCCGTATTAATGCGGATACCCTTTTTAATTACCAATCGAATCGTTTGTATATTATTACAACAAAGTTTTTAGGAAATATTAATTTTTAAGCGCAAATTTCGGAAAAACCTTTGCATAGCGATAATTTCCTTTTCGAACTTTATAAACGCTAAAAGCTTTGCTTTTATAATGAACGTTGTAACGGTGGTTTATTTTTTTGCTTTTTACGTTACGAGCTTTCCAAATAGAAATATAACGTATTTTTTAAACAATTTTTTCGTTTTTTTATCGTTGGCGAAAAAGGCGTTTAAAGTTAAAAGCAAGTGG